TCAATGATCTGCGCTCCGTCGACATCAATCTCAAAAGCAGCGATCTGGTGAGCTCGTGGATCGAGTACGATGGGTCTAGTGGGGTCATCAACGTCTCGGTTTCATACTCCAATCTGAAACCCAAAGACCCGGTTCTATCATCCTCTCTCGATCTGGGCCAGCACGTAAGCAGTTTCGTGTACGTTGGGTTTTCCTGGTTGACTCAGGAAGCACTGAGATTCACAGCATCGAGTAGTGGAGCTTCAGCTTGTTGTTTGATTCCCCTGCTTCACCATGATTGGTACTCCGCCGTCTCTGCGACACATAGCCACAGCTCTCCCGCTGTAGGTGGCTATCTTTCATCATATGCAACACACACACACACACATATATATATATATCATAATAAAAAATAAAAAATAAAAAAATAAAAAAAACTATTAGTGCAGTGACTATGCAAATGATGGTCTCCAGAGAAGCAAATGAAAATGGTCCGCATGCGGAGAGTGTAGTACAACGAGGAAGCCCACTGAGGAACCCAGCCATGCCATCTTCAAGCCACTACTGACAAGTGCATGCTACTATTAGCAAGTCAAAAGGAAAGAAAAGAATAAATGTGGTGGTGACAAAATCATTGAAAGATAGAAACAAAAAAATAGGGATGATGGTGCATCAGACACCATTTAAAAAGAGAGAGAGAGAGAGCAAAGAAAGGTTATGGGATGGTGCACGGCATCATTTAAAAAAAAAAAAGAAAGAAAAAAAGAGAAGTAACACATCTTAGTGAGTTATATGTTTTGTTTGTACTTAGCACAATGCACTAAATGAAATAAAGCATGTTTATTGATATCTCCGATAAATTACATATATATATATATATAAATAAAAATAAAAAAAATAAAAAATAAAAAAAAAAAGAAAGAAAAACAAATGTCACTTATGTGAAGCCTCAGTACTTGGCGGAACTCCGGGGAGAAGAGGCACCAGAGGTTGATTATTCGGAGCCTCAATATTTAGTCGAGCTTTAGATGACAAAGGCAAAAAGTGCCTTTAGAATACAGCCACAAACCTCTAATGGTCACTTTGAATCCGACCTTCAGAGTCCTGCAGCTGATCGAGCTTCCTCTTCATGCTCGTCGAATAATTATTTGCAAGCAGGTGCCAATCTTTATTCTTGCGCTTGAGCTGTCTGATCTCTTATTTAAGATTTGCTACCTCGGCTGTCAATGATTCAACTTGGCGAGTTCGAGCAATCAGACGTTGGCCCATATTAGACACAGAGACTGCGCACTGAACACTGAAAGCTAAGGAGTCTTGGACAGCCAACTCATCGGTCCATCTTGAAAGTAACCTATCATTTATAGGAGTAAAGAGGTTCCTAGCTACTACCTGAGCCGTTGTTGCATCCTTTATCACGGATTCTTCAACTGTAAGAAGGCCATTTGAAGATAAGAAGGATGAACGCCATACATTTCCGTGGCACGCCTGTATAGCTCCCGAGGCTCAAATCTGAGCAGATGTTAGACGGGTATGCCATTTTCAAAAAAAAAAAAATGGTAAAAGAAAAGGGTTAGATAAAGTAAAATTTCATAAATACACCAGAGACAATTTTCACGAGCAGTCAATCTTCAAAGTGTGCATGTTGGATGTGATCGATACCTCTATAAAAGGAGAGGCAATGCATCCACTAATCCAAAAATCGAAGAGGCACCACTCTCCGAATTTCAAAAGCCAGATTTTCCTGCATAAAATCCGTCAAGACTTTTCAGACGCAAACTCAACTTGTTAGATAACACATGCAACTTTGTCAAAGATCTCTGACAAAGTTGAAAATGCATGGAGTTCACTATTCCAACTACCACACTTTTGCTAACAAGCGTGGGTGACAAGGCCACACTTGCACCACTACCCGTTGTTCTAAAATCCCTATATATGTCGACCTTCATCCTCCATGGCAAGACACACTTCCAAAACGCCTGATTCTTCTTGCTTGCCAAGAATACATCTGCAACCAAACCTCTCAACATACTCAGTTTCTTCCCCCTTGAAAACACCTTTTTAACCAGGTCACACCAAAGCAAAAGTATCTCATATCATCAGGGTCGAAAGCAAGAGTATCTCATACCATGCCTTCTCCATGTCCTTTTCTTTGTTCTTGTTCTTCCTTACAGGACAAGGAGAAAGAGAGCGATCAGTTGACACTTGGAATCAAGCTTCCCATCAGGAACCGACTGCCTGGAACCCTTTCCCTGATTACTTACCCAGAACTGTTCTCAAGTACTCATCTTTCACTATTGATGTACTTCCAAAGAAGATACCAGATGCCTGGAGAACGGATGGGGCAAGTGGAAGCGGTAAACCTAAGCATGCGAAGACAAGCGCAACAAATACATGTGTTGATTCATCCGCTACTTCTTCAAAAGCAAAAGTATCTCATATCATCAGGGTCAAAAGCAAAGGTATCTCATACCATGCTTTTTTCCCTGGCTTTTCTTTGCCTTTGCTCTTACCTCAAGATGAGGGGAATTAAAGCAATCAGTCAGAACCTGAAATCAAACTTCCAATCTGGAACTGATTGCCTGGAACCTTTGACTGGTTGCTTACCTAGCATTGCTCTCGAGTGCTCGTCTTCAACTGTTGATAGGCCTTGAATTTCCTCAGCGAATACTTCAGGACAATTAATATGATGTTGGCTCTTTACACTGAAGCTGCCAAGCATGGATGAGTCGTCGGGAGATGATGCTCTGAATGACCATTTAAAGGCAAAAGGTTGCGCACCACTTCTGCTATGTAAAAGAAATAATCAGAGAAGAATGCAGCATGATGAGCTGTAACAAATCACTATAACACGATGCCCTTCTCTGCAGAACCGCATAATCCAGACGGAGGAGTTTAAGTCAAATCCAAGCTCGATATCGTTGCTCTAATCGAAGAGTTCGAGAAGCCTCGATGGCCCTTGAAGAAATCACAAGTTCGATCCAAGATCAAGTGTCTACCACCCTTGAAGATCATACCGTTAACCAAACTGCTCAGGTATAAGTTGGAAAGATTGAACAAAGAAACAGACCATCACCTTCACCTCGTGCCTGCTTGCCATGTGTCTGAATCTTGAAATCGCTCATGGTCCTATTTAAATTCAAGGTCAAGCCCCAACGGCCCTTGAAGAAATCCCAAGTTCGATTCAAAATCAAGTGTCCACCACCCTTGAATCAAATTCAACTCCATATAAAATGAGTAAATTCAGACATTTGGCGCAAGTCTGGCAGAAGAAACTTCCAACCCAATTCAAGATCAAAGTTGTGGAAAGTCAACAAGCACAACAAAATACGTGTTGATTCATCCACTACCAAAGCCAAAGATCATCTACCACGTGAAGCTCCTTGTGGTCCAATTTCATTCAAGATTAAGCCTTGACAGCCCTTGAAGAAATTTCAAACAAAATTCAAGAACAAGCCTCAACAGCACTTGAAGAAAACTTTCAGCCCAGTTCAAGATCAAGCCTCAGCGGCCCTTGAAGAAATTTCTAGTCCATTTCAAGATCAAGCCCTAAAGGCCTTTGGATCGACATCTGCATTAAGGGACTTCAAAACGCATCTCCTACACGTGACAAACACATGTATACAACGCGCCTTGAAATGGGGGCATTTGTAGACATCGAAATTTCGGTGAAATAAATACTGACCAATAATTAAAATTTCAACACTCACGTATCACATAAATTTTACACGTATCATGTAACTCAACAAAAAATTGAACAAAATAAAAAAAGTCATCAAATAGGACATGTGTCAACACCTGGCAGAAATGATTTATTTAATCTGATTATTATATTTAAAATTAGGCCTTGAAAAAGTCTATAAATAGAAGCCAATTCCATTCATTTCACTTCACCAATTCACATCACACCAAAACCTTGAAGCTTTGAAGCTCTAAAACTCTCAAGCAAATCCCGAAGGATCAAGAAAGCCCTCTTTGTTCTTCGTCAAATCCTCCTTCAAGATCAAGCCCTGACGACCCTTGAAGAAACTTCCCTCAACCTTTAAGATCAAGCCCCCAACGGCCCTTGAAGAAAGTGTTCATCGTTTATCATCCGTTCATCCTAAGATCAAGCCCCAACGACCCTTTGGATCAACGACATTAACAAATCCACACACCCGTTCTTCAAGATCAAGCCCAAAAGCCCTTGAAGATCCGTTCATCAACTATTCATCAAGATCAAGCCCTGAAGGCCCTTGAAGATCCATTCATCCTAAGATCAAGCCCCAACGGCCTTTTGGATCAACAACATCAACAAATCCACACAATTGTTCATCCCTAAATCAAGCCCTAACGACCCTTTGTATCAACAGCCCATCCACAGATCTACACTTATGAAGATAAAATCAAAGGATCATATTGTAAAAGAGAGTGTAACCCTAAAATCAATACAAAATATATTTTGTACAAGTGTTATTGTTTCAGGAAAATTCGTGTTTACAGTTTCTCTTTGTAATATTGCGATTTGATATCAGGGCTTGTTTTTATAGGCATTTTTTTCAACTCGCAATCACTAAACGGCTGTGTTATTACTAGACTTTCTTTGACTAATGCTCAAATAAACAAACATCTCTTCGATGCCTGAGTTAAACTTAATGAATCTGAATTCAAGAGTTCGAGTTTTCTAACAAAGGAACCTTCTCAAGGTTAAAGGTTGTGTTATTATATATTAGTAGGGTTGAACTTGAAAATGATTTTATTAGAGTATGCGGGGCGTGCTATGATTGGTTAGTTTGAGACCCATTATCCCACTCATCAAGTTAATTAGCCGTTAAACTTTGGGAGACATGACAAGTATTTGCCATTAAGAGTTCTGAATTGGAACCACTTAGTACTACAGTCTAGTGGTATTCCTCTTCACTTGTAAGTGCGAAGTTTTAGATTCGATTCTTGCCAAAGTCGAGTTTGAACCACATTATTACTAGCCCATTGTGAGACCAAGTCACCCACTCCCCTAGTATAAATATAATATCGTTTGTTCAAAAAACAAAAAAAAAACAAAACAAAAAAACTGGGAGTCCTGAATTGGAAAGGCCCTTATCCATACTAAGATCATGTAGAGATTTGTTACCCAATCACTGGATTCAAAAACAACTCCCACCAGATCATTCCATATATGACCGTTGGGGATTCGAATTTTAAAAACCACATCTTTCCCTACACAGCATAGTTGTGAACGCTTCAAAGACCATGTCCACAAAACAAAGCCTCTCTCCTAAACCCGGAAACGCTCAAGCAGCCATGAAATGCGCCCTCTCATCGTCGCCGTCGATGACAACGACATCATCCTCAGTGAAATCGAGCACCACCACCGCCATGGACGACGACAGATCTGAAAACCGCGACAGCTGCTACTACCCAGGATGCCGGAAAGATGCCAACTGCAACTGCGAAATGTGCTTGGCCAGCATCAATGCCACTCTCGATCTCATGCCTTTTAGCATCCAGAAAAGCCCGCTCACCAAATTCTCATCTTCAAGGCCTAAGAACAACCCAAGTGTTGAACGCACCCCCATCTCTTTCGATGCTTCGATTTTGTCCACACCCACGTCGGGCTCTCCCCCGATTCCTGTGTCCCCGGAGCTTAAACCGGCTGCAAGATTGAAATCGAAGAAGAAGACTAAGAAGATGGAGAGAAAATGGGGTTTTGGGTGTGAGTTTTGGGGATTGATTTTGGGTTTAATCTTGGTTTATCTGGCGATGTGCGGATTTTATAAGATGGTTTCGGGTGCATTGAAACCAATTCTGTCGCCGGAGATGGTAAGAAATGTTAGTGAAAAATCTTGGGTTGTGGATGATATGAATGGCAGGCTGAGGTTCTTGCAGAAAGACATGCAGGGTCTTGTTCCTAGGAGGGTTTCGAATTGCAGCTATCCTAGTTCTATATGGGACATTAGTCAGGTACTTGGTAATCAAACTTCTGCTTTACAAGTTTAATAGCAATTCAGCATTATTCGGTGATAAACTTGAAATGTCTGTTCCAAAATTCACAAACTTGTTAATGATGAAATGTTAGGATGGTTTGCTTCTAAGCTCACATTGCACATTGTATAAATCTGCAATTGAGGAGGTGCGGATATGGGGATGGCCATTGCAGACTGCCGGGTTGCTCACGAGTGGGTTTTCTTCCCGGTCTTTCACAATCTTATCCGGCAGAGTCACAGAGGTAAAGCTGAAAACGTTTTTACTAGATTGTTTATGTTAGTGTTGTATGGTCAGCCTTGAGATGTTTTGAGTTTTGTGTCATGATGTACAAACATATACTATTTTCTTACCACATTGTTGTTGTCGAGAAGTGGTCGGATGGAAAGGTCGGTAGCTATGTGATTCGGAAGCCAAACACTTCGTGGGTGCGGAGAAGTTGGGGTGCCTCAGCTGTGCAGCTAGATCCCAATACATGGATTCTTGAGTACCGGTGGAGCACGATATGCGATAACCAAAGATTGGTTTCAGCAGCACTAGCGTTTTTGAAGAATATGATCTCAAGAATGCTTGGAAAGATGCAGCAGAAATTTTGGCTCTTATCTACTTTTGGCAACAACCAGTACCTTGAAACTAGTGCAAATTACAATATCGAAATCCCAACCTAAAGAGCTCAGCGGACATCATCGGAGGTGCAATGTTTTCTCTCAGCAGATATCCGGACGTCATATCTTGTGAGAAGCTTCGAAAAAATGTCCCCTTGTTATGTTGTATTGCGGAACCGGTTGAGCTTAATTGTTGATCTGATCTCGAACTGTATATGTTCCCTAACGGTGTAATGTAATCGGGAAATTGTTGCTTTCCTGATTATGAGTAACTAGCAACAAACTAGGTTCTGTTTGGAGTTAGGAATCCAATTCTTGGGAAGCGTCTGTAAATATTAGAGGCCACGTAAGCGTTAGTCAATCAAAAGTTAGTCATCAGCAAGAACATCAGACCAGATCATTGGGATAGTTTTCTAATTGATTGAATTGAATGAATTTCGCGTTCACGTTTTAGCAAGTAGAATGAGATTTAATCTCAAACGGAGAATAGAGTTTACCAATAGTCTTTACAAGAAGAAAAACCATGTTTGTAGTGGTGAAACCTAGTCCTATCTCTGACAATAATCTCTCTCTCTCATACACCGTTGAAGCCAACTTCATCAAAGTAAGCCACTCTTTGCATATCCGGAGATTCTTAACTATGCGAATGCTTGAACAGTAAGAAAGAGCCAACTTCTCACTGTGCAAGAGAATCGCTTCCTTCTTTTCTTCCTCTTTCCATCTTCTTTGTTTTGAGTAAATGTTTGATAACGCCACAAGGGCTCCATCATCATGTGATTCTACCTCAAGAAGCTGTCTTGCAGCATATTCTCCTAATTCATTCTCACCATGAATCTGACAAGCAGCCATCAAATATCCCCAAACGACAACATTCGGTGCAGAGGTGTTGCAAGAGGTCACTTTTTTTTTTCTCTTTTTTCTTTTTTTTTTTTTTTTTGGAAAACTGAGGATACTTTTTATATAGGGATTTTATATTTTTTTTTAATAAACGATAATCTTACAATGGGTTAGCATTAGTACGGTTCAAATTATTTTTTTACGTAAATTGAATCTAAAACCTCACTTCTAATGAAAAAAGAATACTACTAAATCGTACTACTAAGTGGTCAAAATTTGATCATACAACTACACAACCATTGCTGCAAATCTGACCACTTTAGTTTTTTTTTTTTTTTTCGGAAAGAAAAAAAGACCATACAACTATAGAACACACGACATGTCGTTTATATGCGTCTCTCCTTTGTAAGTACAAGGAGGAAACGTTCCAGGATCTGAAGTCCCCAAAAAGCAATGGGAGAAGCTTTGTTCGAGCTGGAGCAACATCTAAGGTACAAACAGGTAAAAATTTCCACTCCCATTTCACAAATTTCCCCAATTTCAGTCACCAAATTCCTCGAAACCCTAATCCCAATTCAGGTTTACCCAAGAATCACCCATTAGTTGCTAACCTTGCTGTACCAAATGTGTGTATTTATGCAGGTAAAACTGACGCCTGAAGAAACTAAGATTCTTCTTACTTGCAAGTCCAAAGCTGTCAGGGAGTTTACATTCGGAGGTCTTGCTGCTTGCACTGTTGCCTGGACAGGTCTCTCTCTCGTTTGGCAGTTTTCTTGTTCAGGGTTCCTGTGTGTTTTGTGAATTTTTATCTTCCAACTATGTATTTCTGTATATTTCAATTCATTGGGAGGTCGGAGTTTCCAGTTGCATGATAGCGGTAGTGGTACAAGCGAACGACTGTTTTCGATATTAGCTAATTTGGCACACATTTTGTTTCTCATTCGCCAAAAGCTGCAAAACCCAGTTTTGATTTGGTCATTTTCTGTTACGAGAGTTTGCATTGGTTTCGGATAGAGAAATGAGGGTTCGATTTCTCATTATTTGGATGGAGAGTTTGCATTAGGCCATTTTCGATTACAGCAGTGTGCATTAGTTTTGGATAGAGAAACATTGGTTCTCCAGTATTTCAAGTTTTTGTTGTTCCATGGTTTTGAGGTAGTTATCAAGAGATGTTTACCGATTACCAGTGCCACATGGTTTTGAGGTAGTTATCAAGAGATGTTTACTGATTGCCAGTCCCACACTTATGTTCAAGTGAAAAAGAATATGTACTTCGTAAAATGTATTGAAGTACGTTGGTTTCGCTGCTTGGAATAATAATTCATTGCATTAGAGTTTATACATTTTAGTATCCTGTTCTCTTTTCTTCTTTTCTTAATTCTGCACTTTTTGAAACAGTACAAGGGAAAGGATATCAGCTTGCAAATTGCAATTGATATTATATGGTTCATAGAATTGTAATCTTACACATTTCGTGGGGCTTTTATGAATATTTACCGTCTGCATATCACTTTTATACTCATTTATAATCATTCGAGGGAGTGAGCTGGTGAAAAGTTATAGGATTCTTTAATAAACAATTATGTTAATTTTTTTGTTCCATTTAATTTACAAGTAAAGGTTCTTCTTTTGGGGTCCAATAATGATTCACGTTTTTTTATTGTAAGTTTGGATTATTATTACTTCGTTATCATAATTGTTGTTTATTTATATGTTTCATTCTTTTAACGATCTCAGTTTATTTATTGCAGCATCAAAGAAGCTGAATACGTTTATTCGACTTAACCTTTCAGGAGGTGGGTTAAACTCTCTCTCCCTCTCTCTCTCTCTCTCTCTCTCTCTATATATATATATATATATATATGAATCATAGCTACCTACTATCACTTTCTCATTTGAACAAGTTTTATGCTTCTGCAGGAGCTGCTGCTCTATTTGGACTATGGAGCTTGTCTAGGTCCTTAAATTCATGTGTTAACCATATTCTTTCTCAGGATGGAAGTCGTATGCAGGCGGAGTTAGCAACTATGTATGTCACCATTTTTATTTTTAGGATGTTTGATGATTCACTTTTGTGCAATTGGCTAGAAACACTGGTTTTCTTCTGGTATGCATGAATAGTCATGTTAGCTGTCTTGGTGTGGATCTTTAGCCATCTTGGTGTGGATCTATTCTTCCTGAGTTGTAATTAGGAGTTGAAAATTTTGAGTTCATTGTCCTTCTTACACTTATGGAATTGAAGTCCTTCTGATACATTTATTCATTCACAAAATCTTCGTTTTCGGTATATGACTAATGTCTGCCCTTCCATCACATCTCTGTCAACCCGTTGCTTACTTGGTTTTGTATGTAATTATCTGAGTATATATGAGACATTACTGTACATGTATTTATCCGGAAAAGAAATGCATTGTAGTATATGACCAATATCTACTTGTTTACTAACTTCAATTGAAATTCTTGAATTATTGAACTGTGAACTGTGATTCAAATAACAGAATGGTGAATAAGTATCAGAATGATCCTTCTATGATGGGGCTTATCTCTAAACAGTTCTATTCTGAGAAAGTTTTTGATGATGCGAACTCAGATCAGCCAACACTGAGGTGGCGTTATCGGAATTATTTTAGTGATAACATTAGCCATGGTCGAAGAACAGATTACAGCGATTCTCAAGGTGATCCGGACCAGGCTTCCCATGGTGACCATCAGAGTTCCTCTGACAGTGATTCCCGGAACACCCAGAATGACTCCCACAAAATACGTTTTGCTCCCAAACAAGTTCCTGTAAGAAACTTATCTAGTAATTTTTTTTCTTAGAAATGGTTGCATTACACTGCTTATGAGTTAAGTTTTATAAGTAGCGATAGTAGTGCAGAAGAAGAATTTGGAAAATAGATGTAGCATAAACTTGTCACTGTCGAGGAATGTGTACGTAAGATAGTTTGTAGCCTTTACTATTCATATAGTTGAACATTATACCCACCAAATGCATGTGAACCCCATTACATGGTACCGAAAATCATACCCCGATCAAATTTGCATGCCAAAGAAAGTATCATGCCCTGGGCCTATGCCAGTAGCAAACCTAACTGCTTAGGTATATATATTTCAATCTTTTTCACAAGTGTGTCTTCAGATAAGTTACATGATGAAATCAACAGCAATAGTACTATAGTAGGATCATTTGTACTCTGCATGTTCAGAAGGGGTTCTCACTCTTCCCTGTTGCCTATGTACATATCTGAATAATGATGAGGAAACTACACTTACTTCTCATGGCATATGATAAGGGTCTCTTGTATTCTGACTCATCTATTTCTTATCTTAGGTGAACTCTGCTGTTGATGTAATGGTCGACCCTTTTGATTGCGTGTTTGGTAATACAAGCGAGGAGATTCTTCCTCCAAGTACCTCTAGCACTGTCAATCCCCCAAAAGTACAGACTCGTAAACATAGAAGATCTCACCGTAGGCGTCATATGCACCATGAGGAAGACGTACCAAAAATGCAACATACGTAACAGAGTCGAATGTGGTTGAGCATACGAGAAGATCAAAGGGGAGAGCTTAAGGGAAGTACAAATTGCCCTTTCAATTGCCTTGTGTTTGTCAGACCTCCAGGAAGAGGAGCATCTCTGTCTCAATTTACCACAGTATCAGGCAAGTTACTGTCATTTACTTTTCACCGCTGTGTAATTATTGCTGAATCAATAGTTAAAGTTCCATTTGGGCTCATTATGCATTTGAAGAAGCAGAGTGCTCCTTCAATGAGCAACAACAATAATCGGTTTTTTTTTGTAATACAAGCGATATTAAAATAAGTGGTTAGTTTGGATATGCACGTATTATTTTTCCCGTTTAATCATTCGGTTGGAAAGACGTTTTTTATCAAAAACGAAAGAAGCTCCACAAGATTACACAACCCAGTTTGAAAGGTCTGTCCACAATCCAAACGTGAAAATCTTAATCTGAAATCTAGCAAGCAGATTTTGGAATTTTATGGTCACCAAATGTCCCCAATTAGGAAAAATCACCCTCTAATCTTTGGATTAATTTCAAAGATATTAAAAAAAACAAAAAAACAAATCTATGGGTGGTGCTGGTTTAGAGTAGTTTCAATAGACAATGGTTGTTTGTCACGGAGCACCCCATGTATTCCTATATGAAAACTACAGCAAGCACTGTCTCTATCTGCACTTAATCCAAAATTTTGTAGGGATAATAAATTAAAATTGTTTTGTTTTAGCTGGTCACCCCTTCTGCGAAGGGTGGGGGAACCTTCATTCTCTGTCTTTATAGTTTATATAATGCGAATAGTTTTGCTCACCGTCTCGTTTTTTTTTTTAAGTTTAAATCTTTTTTTTTTTAAGTTTAAATCTTGAAATTTGTATAGAAGATAGACTAAACCAAACTTATCTTAATCGACAATAATTACACCGGTGAGCATCGTTTTATGCTGCTGAGAAAAAAATTGCTGTTGTATAACTAGATAGAATATGCACACATCTAAAATTTCTTGTATATTCTAAATTCTGTGATAAAAGAGCTCATGCAAAGTCGATCGATGTTAGTTTTGTAAAATGCCATATTAGACAAGGGTGCAGGAGGGAATGTAACTTCGAAGAAGTTGCCAATGAGTATAGGAGACGGAATGTCCCTTTCTTCTTTTTTGGTAACGGAATGTCCCTTGCTTCCTTCCTCCCTTACGGCCATCGTGGCCTTATGTGCTATGATGCAATGTCATGCATAAGTTTTTCTTCACATCCTGTTATATCATTAGCACGGGATGTCATAGTGATAATATACTCATTTCATATCAATTACTTCCCCTCTTTTGGTGAATTCATCATTTTGCTCCTCAACCTAGAAATATTAGTAAGTAGTCATTTCCATGTGTTGTTCTTCTCACAAGGACGCGTCCTTAAGCGTTGATCACTCATTCGCCGTAAAAAACACGTCAAAGGAAGTCCCAAAACACGTTGACAAAGTTGTCACATAATCAAACGAAAATGAATTTCAAAACGACAACCTAAATTGTGTCACGAGACATGAGCTTGGAAGGTGACTTACAATTACTAAGAAATTGCACCCTATATATCTTTATTATTATATAATTGCACAAGGAATGACCTTTTTTCTCCTTGTCCTGTGAGATTTCCTTGACACCAAAAAAGCTATAAACATTTTGGATGGTCCAAAAAATTAAAATATGGCCAAAATTGTAATTATAGTAAAGTCCAAGGATGAAACCTAAACGATCTTTGCCCTTTATATATTCTGCTGTGATTCCTCCCATGGGCTCGCTAGCCACTATGCTTACCCAGAAAGGGAGCTTTCCTTAACGCCCTTTTCAAATTGCAGCCAACATTTCTTTCATTCTCCCCAATTTCTAAATTATCAGAAAGAAATTGGGAAAATTCAATTCAATCCAATCCAATCCATTTCAATTTCAATCCAAACCAATTTCTAGGGTTAGGGCATTTTCCCAAAAAATACCCAAATCAATTTTCCCACCAATCCTTTATGATTCCTTCTTTTGGTAAAAACAACCCAATCAGGATTTTGATTCCCACCCAAGATTGGCGTGCCTTTTTCACAAGAAGGGCATCTTTCTATTAATCTTGTCGCAATCCCTCTATTTCTTCTGCAGCTCCACTACCTCCGCCATCGCCTCCCCAGCAGCTGCCACTGAAGCCGCCAACCATGAAGGTCCACCCCATGCCCAGGAAGCGCAACATCACCGTCCAATACAGATCAAGAAACCCACTTTCTGAAGCGCAGGCACTTTTGGGTCTGACCCATAAGAAGCTCCGCCGTCTCCCCCATGTCTTCAGCCGGATCCTGGAGCTCCCCTTTCGGTCCGACGCTGACGTTCTGGTCCAGGAGAATCCCGATTGCTTCCGATTCGTCGCCGAAGCCGATAATATCGGCGACGGCGTGAGGACCCACACCATCGAAATCCATCCCGGGGTGACAAAAATCGTGGTTCGCGAAAGTGGATCGGCGGAATTGACGTTGGACGAGCTCGAGCTCGACATGTGGAGGTTTCGGCTGCCGGAATCGACTCGACCCGAGTTGGCCAGCGCGGTTTTCGTGGACGGGGAGCTTATCGTGACGGTGCCGAAGGATGTGGGAGTGGAGAATGCGGACGGTGGTGATGGTGGCGGAGAGGTTTGGGGCGGTGGCGACGGGAATGGGGGTGGGGGTTTCAGAGGAGGTATGGGGAACCGCCTTGTGCTTGTACAGTAATTATCTCTCTGTTTTTTAAACCTTTCTACTTCTTTGGGCTATAATTTTAGTTGTTCCAATTAAGTTGGCTTTAGCTGTGCAACTGAGCTTTTGAGGCTGTTGTTGTTGGTGGAACTAGTTGTTTTATGCTGCTGTTCTTGTTGAATGAAAGAAATGTTGGTTTTAGCAATGATGATGCAATTGTGTATTGGATTGGTCTTTTGGATTTAGGTTATTGGTATTGCTTTTGCATGCGGTGTTTCCGCCGTTGCGATTTTCACACTCCCGTTTACTCCTTTTGACACTGCTGTCCTTGTTTCCGTTCCTTGATTCTCGTTTGATTTATTAATCCTAGTACTAAGAGAGTGCAGGAGCGAAAAGGGAGTGCGAAAATCCCTTCCTTTTTTTGTGCTGATCATATTGGTTGTACGATTGGTTGTAGTTCATTATGTAGGCAAACAGGGCTTTTGTGCTCATCCCTTTTCTCTTCTCTCTTCTCTTTTTGTTGTTCTTGCTTAGCTATTTGCTTTCCCCTAGGATTATATAAATGCTGTGTGTAAGAAGGCACACAAACCCTTTCTGCTATTCAATTTTCTGCACTCTTGATTAAGCCATGTCAACATCTTATGTTGACGACTTCTTCACACGGAAAACCCTTTCGATCTGCCTTTATTCCAATACCAAGAGCCAATTACTTTTACTTGATGGTTAAGAATATATGCTTTCTGGCCCACTGAGTCTACTACTGCTAGTCAACCCAAAGCATTTCTAGTCTGGGCTGCAGTGATTTGCATTACTTTTCACTTTTAGCTATCAAATGAACATCTCTCTGCTTTTCTGATGATTATTTTGTGATGAGCTCTCCCATTTTGCTGACGATCATCGGCTGAGTACAATTGATGAGTTGCGTAGACGGTTCTTTGTGTCGAATTTTCATTGCATCGGATTCTCCCGCTTGATATGCTACCGCCCTTTTCTTCCATGCTTCTTTATCTCCTCCATGCTACGCCTCAGTTAGTATGGATTGATTGGGCATAATATGGTTGGATTTGCTGGCTGAGGTTTTCCCTGAATGTGAACAGAACTGATTCTTTTACGTGATGCCGTGGTCGGAGATTGAAAACTGGGTTGTTTTAGCTTTCATTCTTCTGAAAGTTGCATGGCCTCTGCGTTGTGTGATATGTTTGCCCAATTGTTCCCACTTCCGCATCATATTCACCCACGGTGGAAGAAGATATACAGCTGTTACGGAGGCCGCATTCGTCATTTCCTTCATTAATTTATGAAGCTACTGAGTTGCACGAGGACTGTAAATTGTAACTTCACTCCTTCTCACAGAAGCTGCGTGCCCCTTTACGCTGACCAAATGTATTTTTTTTTTGTTCTTTTTTTGGGTTACTACAAAGTTTAGTAAAAAAAGAGAATCGGTATGGATCAAACCTGGCCCATGGTACACAAACATAATTAACTTCCGCCACTATAGTAAGACGCCGTCTACCTTTTACCTGATTAGTGGGGCATAAACAAGTAATTTGCAAAAAGTATAGCTTGAGCGAGATCAGGTTCTAAGAATTTTGGCAGCACAAACCCACGATTGATAACTATTTTAATTTTCAGTTTTTGTATAAATCGGAAAACCAAATAAGCAAGCATAACCAAACCATTTTAACAACGTGAAAGGTCCATTTCATTCCGAAGAAACTATATTTGTGCATTGTGCACACATTGTACAGGAAATGAAAATGCCTACATCTGCAACCAACCTATTCACACGAACGAAGAGCAGCAGCACTCCAGCCAAAGTGTTCTCCAGTTGCCAAAATTTCCGATTCCCCAGTCAGGCGAACCGCCTTCACAAACATAAAAAGAAGAAAAAAAACACAGTCGGGGAAATTGGGAGGTTGAGAGCACACTTGCCTGATGCTTCAAACAGACTAGAATCTGCGACGACCTTTCTCATGCACCGTTTCATCAAACAACGCAATCACTGCAAGAAGGTGCAGATTCTTTGGGAGTTCATAGGATACAATTCACAACATAAGAGGGTTCCTTGAAAGTCCTTCAACGGGCTCTTCATACCTTTCTTCTGCCAGTAGGCACGGGCTGATTCTACTAGATGCCCTTGTGCTTACAAACCTCACACAAAAATGTGACAGCACGATTGCACAAAAATCTAATGCGCAATCGATTCAAACCATAAAGAAGCCAGTTCAATACCAAAGTTGATGAAACAACGAAATTAAACCATCATAATCCAGTAAGGTTTACTTCAATCCTCAATTGCCAAACTGAAGTGCTCCTTCAGGACAGCTCTAGAAGTCTTTCCAAATCCGTTGGCCACTTCTTCCATATCCTTAAGCTTTTTGACTTCGCTTTTAATCTGCTTCACTCTGCTCATTACAGTACTCAGTAAAGCGTCCGAGTCAGTTGAAGCGTGCTGTACCAAATCAGACTTCTCCTTCTCAAGTTGCTGATACAGATTACAGAGATAGTTCTTCTGTGCATTAAGGCATTCCTCCGCCATTTTAAATTCAGTTTCCTGTGACCTTCTTAGTGCATGGAGAACCTGATCAATCTCTTCCTCAAGTTTTTGAGCTTCAGTTCGATAATAAAATTGTGAGCCCCTGACATCCAAGGGTTCTTGGAAGCCAGTAAGTTCCATGACAGTATCTCCATGATGAGAGACATCTGTATGCAAATGAAAACATTTTAGAGAGAGAGAGAGAGAGAGAGAGAGAGAGAGAGAGAGATGAAACCTTGTGCAAATTAACTAATTATATTTTTTATACAGCATCCAAAAAGTTGCAAGTAATTATCATAACATAATTACTTAATTTTAGAGAAGGAAGATTACCAATGGAGATAGTTGAAAAATTGTCACCCTCTTTCCAAATATCTTCAAGATTAGTCCCACATTTGAGCTGCTTAAAATAGAAATGTTATATTGCTGGAATTTTAGGAAGTGTAAGTGTGGGAGTCTAAATACTGTAAAGCTACTATATTTACCTTTTCAATGGCCACTTCAATACGTTTCAGCAGGTCCTTTGCACTGGTTTTCTGTGAACCACACAAAATGCAGATACCAAAATTTAAAATCTTCTCAACATCATCCCGAGAATCAAGAGATTCGCAAGCAAGTAAAAGCCTTGTGAAATGTGAAACCAAATCTGTCTTTTCATCACAGCGCCGGCAATAGTATTCAGAATCCAAGCCAATGCTTCCTCCTACAGTGCCAGCCATGTAACATCGCAGAGCACAATCAATGTGGGCAGCATGCCCACATATGCTACCATCATGCATCAATGCTTCGCATCGAATGTAATCATAACCTGCACAGGACGAGTTTACAGACTTGCAACAAAGAATGCAACAGCAATCACGGCAGAACTTAGGTTCAGTGCAGCAAATATCACACTCCATTACTGCTAAAGCTGGGCTTTCTGCTTGTTCCAACAGACTGCTGCACTTTTTATTTCCGGCTTTACAACGCTCAGTATCAGACATGTAATCAGGTTCTGCACACTCTTCGGGGGGTAGAACATGTGACACATGCTTCAGCTTCGCACTACCTGCATAAATTCCACATGAAAATAACACTATTGGTTCTCCAATAAGTTGAGAAGTGAAAAACATATTAGATGCGTAGTACACTAAATTAGTAAATTCTTGAACATGGAATTTATTTTTTATTTGTGAAAAGCTTTAAAACCAAAATGGGATATATAGTTATGACAGCTTGAATTTGATGATGTATACACTTCGCTCGCTGTTTGCTATACATAAAAAATTCAAGAATCTTATAAAGACAGGGAGAAAAGATCATGATTAAAAAAAATTAAAAAAAACAGGACTCGGTTTGGATTGTAGATAGAAAATGAAACTTAACGTATAGGAATGTTTATCAGAATCTGACAGCATTTAAATACCCCACTATTTTTTATTTTTCCAAAATTGACACCATTAGTTCAGCCATTCACTACAGTAAATACAAATTAGAAAATAAACAACCAAACACACGTGTATTGAAGACATAAGTCAATAAATAAGAGCTTAGCCACCAGTGTCCAAGATAAATTGCTCTGGGTCAAATCACCAACAAAAGATAATGAAAAGGAAAAGAAAACACAGGTACACAAACACCAGATCATTTCAAAGACGTCTAAGGATATTATCACTTTATTTATATAAAGATGCCCAAAAGATATATAAGCACAAAAGTTGAGAAATAGAAAATAAAAATCAAATTTGCTTACGGCTGACCATTTGTCAATGCTGACTGGTGTGCAGGGATCCTCCAGGAGAATTTTGTAAAAAAGTCATCAAGATTTAAACCAGGAAATGTTGCTTTGATATATCGTTCAACTGCAAGCCTGCTTGCAAAACCATATTTCCTACGAGTTGAATGTTCACGATTGCGAAGACGCTTTGGAAGATAGAGATACCTATCCAGAAAGTGTCCAGCAGCAGAAACTCTCTTCCCCACCTTCCAGCGCCAATTATCACCAGGATTAGGCCAATTCACAGGAGCATAAGGCAAACCTTCCCCAGAATCATCAGGTAAAACTGGATTACAAACAAAACCATTTTCATTTGTCTCTGGTGTCCTATCACTTTCAGCATCAAAATCGATCTCCATGATTCCTGTATCAGCTGACATGTGGGTGAGGGTAGTGTACTTTCAAGCAATTGAAGAATATGATAACCTACGAACCAACATTATTTTTTCTAGTTACAAAGTAACACAATGCAAAAACAACGACCAGAGCACATGCCAATGATTCATTTTATTCTTAGAAATAAACTCTTTGATAGTATAACTACATGATATCTACGGTGTTGCAATATCAATAATTCTTTGAAATCCAGACAGGTATCCAACTTAATCCAACTTTCAGCCTCCGCGAATGGATAGGCCTTAGTTAAGTCATCAGTATGAGTAATTATGCCGTCTATCATAGTATTTGACCTAGAATTGTAATAGATTGTAATTTCACATCTATATGTAGGCACTAGGCAAAGATTTCATTCCACTTATTTCAAACAAGGAAAATTTTGGGCAAAGTTTGTTTGATACTAATTTTATATTTGAATCTCCCACTATCCATTCAACAACTGCCAGAAGCCCAAAAGCTTAAGCCATCAGCAGCGGCAAGCCAAGCCTAGGTCAAAAGTGGCCATGCCCCAAACCCATTTGTTACTATCGTTATTGTATCTTGGGTGGGTTTGGTTTCAATCGGTTCAGTTTTTTGCCAAAACTGGTTCCCCATTTTTTTTTTTTTTTTTTTTTTACAATATAGTCACACAGTGAAAGCCTCCAATGGAGGCCTATGCAACACAAAAAAGGACACGGAAATGCATATGCAAATTCCGACTTGCTGACAGTGAGACATACACGGCAAATAATACACTAATCAGATTACCATGCCTATACGCAAGAAGCCTTAATCGATTGAGACAATAAATAATTAGGAACGAAGAAGGAAAAGACAAAAAAGAAAAAGAATTATGAGATGAACTTTTTGATAGGAGAATGTTGCACATGCATTCATGGAAGAAGGAAAGGACGAAAAAAAATAGGAGACGAAGGAGCCGAAATTAACTTGAAATATCAATCCTTGTTATATATGCAGACAATGGGTACCTCAGAGAGATGAACAATATGCAAAACCCCAATAATTAGATAAAGAATAAACAACAAAAAGTAAGATAGGATTAGATCTTATAGCTCGGAAGAATGTTTGTACCTCAGATAGATTAGGGTTTCGGATTCCAGAAAGTCAGCTCGTCACTGCAACAACAAATCAAATTCATAGAAAATCAGCTAAACAAATTGAAATAGATAAATTATTAAATTACGAAAAAGACAATGGGTTCAGAGAACCATTTGCGGAAATGGAGGCCAAGAAAGGTAGAAGGAAGATCAAAAGGAAAAAAAAAAAAAAAAGACAAAAGAAGAAAACCCCTTGGAAGACCCTCGAACCAACGAGAGAGGGTCACTGTGGGCGTACAGATCGGATTGAGTTGCAGCCAAAAAGCGACGGGGGTCACCGGAGATAGGGGGAGAGGGAGAGGGAGAAAGCAAATTTCTGAAAATTGGGGTATTAGGGTAATTAGCAAGAAATGGGCAACTTGTGATTATCCAAAAAGAAGGGGTAATGCTTATTTATGGTGTTTTTACGGGCCGGGTTGACCTGCGCTGAGTCGAGCTGAGTTGGGCCCAATTTATACATACAAGTATGACGTATCAAAAGATGAATGGGTATATTCCTTTACATAAGCATAAGTCTTGGTTGGCTTAGACACTTAAGCCTAAAATCAATAATCATCATCTACAATGCACACAAGTTGTGCTTTGATAGATGGACCCGCAGATAAAGATAACCCAAGTTGATGAAAGAGAATATGAGATGGACTGGGAAGAGAGAGTCGCTAGAAACGGAAGAAACGAAGATGAAGTCGCCGGCAAGATGAGAGAAAGATGAAGTTGCAAGATGGCAAGAAAGCTTAGGTTTTTCTATGGGAAACAAACAGGGGTCTGAGAGTCAGAGAAGAGAACCAGAAGATGGTATCTAATTCACTAAAAAAAGAAATGAAATATACATAATAATTATTATTAATAATTAATAATAATTACATAAATAATTATATCTACTAGAAGAAACCAGTGGATGTTCCATGTAATCAATATTCCAAGTGCAAACAGACAACTCTACCCAAGAAAAAGAAAGTCATATATTTGGACTGAATGAATAATTTTAGATCATGCTAGAGCCTAAAAGAAACTCGTGGATATTCCACGTAATAGTGAGATACTAATTATAAAAAAGTAATAAAAAAATCTTTTTTATAACAAAATTACCCCTGCATTCTTTTATGCATTCTTTTCAACTGGTTTCGAACTTTTTTGTTTGGGGGGATTTGTATATATAACATAATATTAATAATATCAATTCAGTACGATATATCACCGGTAATGATTTTGAATACCACTACCATACCGAAAATGTTTGGTTCGGTACAAATATTGTATCATTGCCAATTGGTAAGTTTTGGCACAAATTTGGTGTGGTACGGTTGGTACATTAAGTTGGCAAAACATCTCACCCATATCTAGAAGTATACTCACTTGATCTAAATGTACTCTTTTTCCCTACAATTAAGAACATTTTCCCACTGGATTTTTGCTACATAACCAGATTTTGATGAGGCACCCATCCTCCATTGGTCATACCCTTGTGGGATTCTCTACTTGCATCCAGAAGACGTTTAGTTTTGATTTAATGCAACTTTTTGTTAGAGCAATATTAGAAAATATGAAAATAACACAAGAATTCCTATAATAATAATCATAAAGAAATTCACAACATCATGTATGAAATTAATATAAACAACTAGGGATAAAGTTATAAAAACTGACAAATTTGAAGATTGAGGCTTGCATAAATGCAATGTCCTAAAGATAAAATTTCGCCCATACTCTTGTGCTTGTAGTTCGGTAGATATTCGTTTCCCAGGATTCAACAATCTATAATCCAAAGTAAAAAAACACTTCAGTCTTCGAATTCCGGTGAACTTTATATATTCCGTACTCTTAAGACACAACTCGAAATTTGACAAACTAAGAATGAGAGAAACAAAGTGGGGAAATCTTATTTCTCAAGAGTAAAGATTAACTCTAATTTTCTATCATTTAATACCAATGGTTTCATGGGTTTATATAGAATCCAATTTCTACTTATTAAAGAGATGTAACTTTTCATCTATAAGGCCTCGTTTGGCACACCGGATAGTACTAATAATACGGAGTATAGTGTTTGATGTCTGTTCGTATTAAATAGCCACCGGATTAAACAATCGGGGCTCACCTACTTTATACGGAAAAGACCTACTTGCTTATCCTCTCCAAAACCACAATACAATTTAGTCGGATGCTCTCTCTTTCCTTTCCAGACGCAGCCACTCTCTTTGCTCTAGGTTAGTCTTCTCATGCCTTCTTCTTCTTCGTTTGAATCCCAATTCATATTCTCATTTTTCTTCTTCTTCCCAGGTTCCCTTCCTTCTGTTCTTCCTCTCCCTCTGTTCTTGTTATTCTTCGTTTCCCCTCCCTATGTTCTTTCCCCTCATTCCCACAAATCCCAAAACCCAATTCCTTTGCCGGCCACCATGAACCACAACCACCACCAGGTTCCATCCAACCACCCAGAACAAGACTCTTCTCTCCCTACATCTTCTTTTGGCTACCACATGATCTTCATCCCTCTTCTCCGTCGCTGCATCTCCGACCTCTACAACCCTCAGTCTGCAACCACCCCCAACGACGCATTTGAGCATTCTTTACATTTGATTGTCGAGTAAAATCCAATTATACCCTAAAAAACTTTTTTTTTTAAATGCAAAGTGCATAAATGACAGTCGATCTTTTTCTAATTTTATGTGATTACCATATGTACTAAACTTTTTAACAATTAACAGCCTTAACTTTACACCACCAAATTGTATAAGGTATGAAGTTATGGGATGCCATTTGCGCAATTTTTTCTTAAAGGATGAACAAACTAATCGTTGTGAGATTTTTTTTTTTTTTTTTTTTTTTTCAATACAAATCCTTGTGGGAATGACGTGGTGCGAGGGATGACAATTTAATCCGTCAAATTCGATCCCAGCAAGTAACCGACTCTAACAGTTTTGTTTCGGAGATCAAATTTCGGGTTTTTTTACGGTTACGGGTAACCGTTGGGTAAATTGTTCGATTTCGGGTTCGGTTATGGTTATAGGGGTATCCACCCCGAACCAGTCCTGTTTTCATTTTTTAATAAAAAATATAAATGTTTATTATTTATATATATTTTTTTTTTATAAAAGAATGAAATCCTTAATTTTTTTTCTCCAACAACTTTAATACTTCTTGGGAGACTCCAAGGGTGTGTTTGTTTGACCGGATTAGGGAGGACTGGACTGGACTAGACTAATTGCTAGTGTAGTCCCTTGTTTGGTCTGGACAAGGATTAGGTTTAATGAGCTGAGGTCAGACTCGCTTGGATTATATACCTCGCTAGGTGTTCTTAATGAAGATCCCCATTTTCGGCCGGACTACTAAGATCGTCTCCTTCTCTGTCGTCTTCTCCTCGTCTAAGTCACAGAGCCCCCTCTTCCGTCTTCCTTCTCTGCCAATCTTCCACCTATTCCTCCTCCGACAAGACCCATAACCTCTACCGCCTCCGACCGTCGTGGGCACATATCACTGTAGATGGTTTCGTTGAAACCCAAATCACAAGATCTTTGTGAACCCAGTAGTGGGTAAAGAACATGATTGCGATGGAGGAATTTGAAAAGCCAAGAATGTCGGTGTCCACAACGGCGATGAAGACGGCGAAGCGGCTTGGGGTCACCGACTAAGATGCTAGGACGCTGGGACCGGCGAAGAAGATGGAGGCAACAGTTTGAGAGGCTCTGATTTGCGGAATTAGAGTTGGTTTTGAGACACTATTTCGACAACGGGACACTCTGCAATTGTGGAATTGGAGTTGTTTTGATCTGATCTCAAATTGTGGTCTCAAATTATGGAATTGGTTTTCGAAGAGGAAAGTTTTCAGAACAAAAAAAAAAAAAAAAGAAGAGATAATTAATAATAAAATATTAATAAAAAGGGATTAAATAATATAATATTATAATTTATTAATTATCCTGTTTTTTAGTCCGACACTGCCACAAACGTTTCACAAAGTAGTCCAGGTTAGTCTAGTCTAAGCCAATCCAACTTAGCCCCTGAAGCTAGTCCAGTCCAAGATAGTCCGGTGCAACAAACGCACTCCAAAGGTCTTGAGCGTGCAGTGCAAACTTCAAAGGTTTTTATCTTTATTCCAAAAATTTTAATGATTTCAAGTTTCAATGAATCATGGAATCTAGAAGAACTCGAAGGTTAGAAAAATGGTTCAATACTTCAATTTTGGGAAGGAAACCTATTTGTTCTGTGCAGCTCTTTCTGGAAAAACAATAACTACCAAAATCAGCCACCTCCAAGCCATCACCAACAAAACGGTTTCATTGTTGGTCATCGATTTTGGATTCGGCTGCGGTGGTTGGCGGTGGCGAAATGGGTGACTGGAACCCGGTGTTTACCGCGTGGTCGTCAGATCTTCCAACGACCAATGGTGCATCATTAAGTCTTTTTTATCTAAGGAGATTTCTTCTTTGTCTTATAGCTTAGCTAGGTTCTATTTTTCTTTAATTTGGTTTTTATTTTTGGTTTTGTTTGTGTGGGTTGTGACATTTACTACGGCTTTAGCATCAGTAGCTAATAGCTAATCCTTCTCTTTCTTCTGTGTCTGTATGCGTCTTTTAAGGGTTAAAGGATATGAGGGTGTACCAATTAAGGACCAGAAATTAAATTAAATGTTTGTTACTTGTTGGTGGTTCTTGATGTTATCATCACATTATAATTGCCATAAATTATAAGGGGCTCTGCTTAATTGGATGCCTGATACTGTGGTGTTGGATTATTTTTCAAACTTAGTTTGGTGCGTAATTCTCGGCCGGTTCATAATGGAAAAATCGGTACCCGATGGGGAATCCGTTACCCAATGGATTCGGTTATGGGGAATATCCGTTCAGGTTTTTTACGGTTTCGGGTATAGGAAAAACAAATGGGTTCGGTTATAGGGATGGCACATCTGAACCCAATCCGCCCCATTACCATCCCTAGGTGGTGCTAGCACATGGTGAGACAAAAATGCATAAACATATGGTATAATATTACCTAAATTGTCACTCAATACCACGGTCTGGTGACATTCCTTTTCGCTTAGAAGTGAGAGGTCTTATATTCGAATCTTATGGATGGAAAATTCGATACCAAATTAGGTTGCTCATTGTGTGGCTTATCCAAACTCCCCTCCCATAGTGAGGCTAAGTCTTACCCCTCTCTGTTAGTGTAGATAATATCGTTTGTTTAAAAAAAAAAAAAAAAAAATATTATCCAAATTAATTGCCTGTGTGCAATCTGGTAACAAATTGGAATGATTTTCCAGCTAGATTTGCTGATATCTAATGGTTCCGATGCAAGTATTCGTCATTTACAATCATCAATTGTTCTCTGATAAAACAAAAACAATAACAAAGTTTTTCTCATTAAGTGAGGTCAACTATATAAATTCTAAAACATCACTAGATTCAGTTTTGCCAACTGCTGGGTCAATTAATTGCAGAAAAAGTGTGATGATTAAAAAAAACTGCACCAAATATTTATGTATGGACAAGATTTAAGTCTAATTAGATATAAGTGGCAATCGTAAAAACTAATCACATCCCAACTGATCATGAATATACAGGAACATCTATTAATTAATTTTAATCTAGGGTTATATCAACATTAATCAAAGCTTATATACATTCTAATTAACTAGTGTAATTGTTTATAAATCATATGAGAGAGTAGTATTATAGATGTACACGTATGATTCATATATACCTCCTCGATTCCTCAATGTCGAAAGAGAGTAGCGTACGTTCGTGGAGAAAATTTTCTACATCGATATCTTCCACGTACCGTGGCACTGCACATCAACATGTTATTATATATACGAAGACGTTCTCTGGCCAAATAATGACATTAAAGGTGATTGCATAATGATTAAGTTATAAGTAAGTGGTGAATTGAAATAAAGTTAAACAGAACAACGTACCCTTAGAAGAAACCAAGAGAGCATATCGACAGAGAGTTGTTGAGCTTTGTGGGTGGAGTCTCGGCCACCCCACTGGTTCTGGAAAGCCATTTCCTGGGCATTGGCCTCTTGCATATGATCATGGTCAAAGAACCTGTCTACGGTAGACGATTATGAAGCTGCCATCACACGTCCACCGTTGATGGATCCCATGGCATTAGGTACTAAGCTGTCGCCACCTTGTGCGACCGAAATGCCCTAAAGAAACTCTCTCTCTCTCTCTCTCTCTCTCTCTCTCTCTCTCTCTCTCTCTCTCTCTCTCTCTCTCTCTCTCTCTCTCTCTCTCTCTCTCTCCTCTCTCTCTCTCTCTCTCTCTCTCTCTCTCTCTCTCTCTCTCTCGGCGTGGAAGATGATCGAGGAGTGCAAATAGAGAAAAAGAGGAAGAGAGTTGTAATTGATTTTGAGAAAGCACGAAATGCGTGGAGTGAATAGACAGAGAAAGAGAGACTCGGTAAAAGTGTGTGAGATATCGGAAACGGAACAACTTAATTAGTTGGCTTTTTTGTCTCAATATTTGGTGAGCATATAATTCACATGGATTCTTCATATGTGATGCTTTGTAATAATAGAGCTTAATTATTAAGTCGATTTTTATTTAAATAAGGAAACTTGTTTATTTTGTCCAATCAAAAGATGATATGTGTTTGTTAAATTTAAAATTTTAAGTAACATATGCACTAGTTTTTAGAACAGTAAAACATATGTTGGTGATTTTGTTAGAGAGCTAATAGTGAACCAAATCTTGTCCTCCAATCAAGAACACTCCTCTATCTTTAAATCACATCCTAGCAGTGGCAGTGCAATAAAAGGCGATAATGCAGACCTCAATTGCTTGCGATGCAAGAAATGCTGATCGAGCCAAGAACATGAGCCACAACTCATAGAATCGACTGGTCGAAATGATACAACATATTTGACGTTATAGATTATAAATTCAATCCGAATTGGTTCATGCTATAGATCAGGTAATTATTGAAGACAATCATAAAAGCAAACATATATATATATATATATATATAACAACACTTGAGAAACAGCTGCATACATTGTAAGTTTGCAACTTGTTATATATATGTAATTAAAATTTAGTGATCGTCTGCTTCATATCAATCCCACTCGACCATTCGAAAGCTGCCCTAGGTGCTGTTGCGGAATTCATTGAGGTGCTCCAACCTCCAGGCCATTCCCTGCACCAGTAAAGACTGATTGAGAAAAACAAAGGAAAGCATCGAAGAATTGAAGAATTAAAACTAAAATCTTAACTGAAAGGATGAATGACAAAGACTCCTAGTATGATAATGGCGAAACTTATTCAAATTCATAGTCAGAATATATCTGTATATATAAAAATAATCGTGATACGAAAATCTTACCGTCTATATCAAAGAAGAAGACTTGCTGGAGCGTACCATCATTTACGCACCTCTCAGAAGTCTGAATTCCCTTTTCCTGCACGACCAAATTTGTTCTGACAACTCGCGATTGCGTCGAATAGAGGAAGAAAAATATAAATAACCGGCAACAAAGGCTAGTCCATAAAAGGGTTTTCATTATCAAAAATCATCCAGCAACAATAAAACATGCATTGCATTGCATATATACCTTGAGGGTTTGGGCTAAGGATGGGAGATTGGAGACAGTGAAGCAGATATGGGGGGTTTGGCCAATGATATCCGATGCCTAAGTCAGTTTCTCTAAAAAGAGAGAGAATTTAGGGCTTAATTACATACCAAAGCTTACTAGAATTTGGTGGAGAATGAAGTATTTATAGAGAGATAGCTGACCACATGTGTGTAAGAAGGAGGAAGGACGAGAAGAAACAGTACCACTCCAAATAGCCTTGGCAAACGAACAATACAAAATGATCTACATCTTCATCATGCAAAAAGACACATAAAGGATCCATAGACAGAGTGAATTGTCAAATACGGTCTTTAGTGCTAAGTCTTCCGCTAGCAAATAATTGTGAAGTTACAATCATCAATAAAGAATCCAAAAGAAAGTCTTGAGCTTTTTCCAACCAAAATTCCTCCGCGTCAAGAGACGTTCTGAATTGAGCTAAACGATTTTTTTTTTTTTTTAATTTTTAAAAAAGGTGATTTTTACACTATTTTTAACTTCTCACACTCTTTTATTTATGACCATCAGACTAAATAAATCAAACGGAATCAACGGTCAGACTTAAATAAGTAAGAGGCTAAAAAATGTATGTGAACAGCACTTCCCAATTTTAAAAAGTTGAATCGCCAACTTTTATCATAACAAAGGTCCTACCTGATGAGTCAATGTGCCAATTGTGCTATGTTCATGTAAATTGATTTTAAAAAGTTGAGATAAAGTTAGTGGCCGTAGTAGCGTTACTGTTATGTACAAGATGTGCTGTGTGCGTAGCTCAATAATTTATCGGTAGAATTTTTTTTTTAAATGATTAGAACAATTTTAAATTATCACCAATAATCTCTACACGAGCAATGACCATCTCTAAAGCGATGAAACCGATTGTTATCTCTCACAATAATTTCTCTACCTACAATTCCAGAAATGAACTTGATTGCACCATGGCAATCCCCACAGATCCTAAGGTTCTTTGTTATCCTTATAGGCACCCCGGGAGGGAGGGATATGAGTCCAAACGCCAGCGCAATCTTCTCGCTGTGGTACCAAACTTCCGACACTTTCTCTTCTTCCTCTATATCAAACAGCGCAAAATTGGTGTCGGCAATATAGCCAGCCTCGTCCATTTTCCTCCTTAACTCACTTAGCATTGTCTGAATCTCCGAATTCCTTTCGTGGGAGGTGTCCTTTGCTTGGAAGATGTGGACTGCATTCTTAACTGCGATCCAACTGTAGCCTGCACCCTTTTTGATCCCAACATCTTTCATTCCCTTTCTCACAAGCGTTGCTTCTTCCCACCTGCATTGAGAATTGCCAAACAGAAATCAGTTTGTTTAAACGCCACAAAGCGTGTAGGATTCTAGATAGCAACACTACAATGGGATATTTACCTGCCAGCAGCTGCAAACATGTTAGAAAGCACCACGTGGTTGCCAGAGTCTTTAGGATCGAGTTCAAATAACTTGTCAGCTGCAATCTTCCCCAATTCTGTACTCCTATACATTTTACAAGCCCCAAGAAGTGCCCCCCAAATGGAAATCGTTGGCCGAATTGGCATCTTTGTAATAAACTCGTAAGCTCGCTCTATCATCCCAGCTCGCCCTAGCAAGTCCACAACACATGCATAATGCTCTGCCCCTGGTTCAATTGCATACTTTGCTTTCATTGACTCAAAGATCTGCATCCCCATTTGCACAGCCCCTGCCCTACTACATGCCGATAATACACACACCAATGTAACATAATTTGGTTTAAACTCGTGACTTCGGGTGCACATTTCCTTGAAAAATGCCAAAGCCATATCGGCAAGCCCTTGATGTGCGTACGCACCTACCATTGCGTTCCAAGTGATCAAGTTCCTCGAAGGCATCTCATCAAAGGCACGCTTGGCATCTTCTATGCAGCCACATTTTCCATACATGTCAACAAGTGCACTCCCAACAAATACATTTCCGTCCACACACGCCTTCACTGCAACCGAGTGAACTGACCTACCCTGTTCAAGCCACGCAACTCCAGCACAAGCACTTAGAACACTCGAAACCATGAAGTCAGTCGGCTTAACCCCTTCTTTCATCGCCCGTAAAAAGAACTCGCATGCATTCTCCTCCTCATCATTCTGCACGCACGCAGCCACCATAGAGCACCAAGAAACATCATTCCGCTGACCAATTCCATCAAAAACCGTCATTGAACACCCGACCTCCCGGCACTTCCCATAAAAGTCAATAAGCCCATTTAAAACCGACACATCTTTGCCAAACCCACATCGCATCACAAACCCATGTAACTGTTTCCCGAGCTCCAGACTCGATGTATCCGAACATGCATTGAGAAACGCACAGAACGTAATCGAATTAGGCTCCCCACCCGCCCGCAGAAACTCAATAAACTTGTAAACCGCATTTAGCGGCCGCCCGTCAAGCACCGCATTCGACATGTACGCATTCCACGTCGCAAGGTTTCTCTCGGGCATTTCATCAAACACATTCCGAGCCTCGTCTCGGAGACCCGTCTTGCAGTACATATCAAAAGCGCTGCACCCAACAAAGACATCGCATATCTGCCCGGCCTTGACAGCTAGCGCATGGAGCTGTTTTCCGGTGACAGGCAACCGCAGCAAACCCGAGGCCTTGAAGGCGCAAGGGAAGGTGAAATCGTTGGGCTGGATGGACTCGCGGCGCATGTTAGAGAAGTGGAGGATAGCGGAGGCGAAATGGCCATTTTGGACAGCACCGGCGATAAGGGAGGTCCAGGTGACGACTGAGCGAGATGGGCTGAGTCGGAGGATGAGTTGGGCTGAGTCAGGGAGGTCGAGTTTGGAGTACATGTTGACGAGGTGGTTGGAGAGGAAGGAGGGGAGAGACGCTCCGAGGGTTCTGATCATGTGGGCATGCGCCGCCCGGCCCAGCAGAGGGGAATGCGTCGACACGGCGGATTCGACCAGGGAGGCGAGCGTGTTGGGAGCGAGGAATGGCATTGTTAGTAATTAGGGTCATGATTGAGGGGTAGGGAGGGAAGTTAGTAGTGCATCGGAGCTGTAGTGAAATTTCTTCACGGGTTTGTTTGTGAACTGTGGCGGTCTATTATACTAGTGCTTTGCTCAACTACTATTTACATGTTGTAAATTACAATGCTTAATTGGTACTCTGGCTACATCTCAAAAAATATATAGAAGTTCTTATCCAAAATTATTTTTTGTCGTTTTATAAAATTTTATGTTTTTATAAATTAATTTATAAAGAACGTTTTTGTAAAAAATTATTAAAATTAAGATCGTTTAATTTTTTTTTTTTTTTTAAAACAGATGAATAAAATTGATAAAAGCATTACTATACATTTACTATAGTAATTTGACTAAACAACCTTAGTTTTAATTCATTAATTTGTAGACAAGCATAGTGATTCATTATTTGAACAGTTCTAATAATAACCATAAAACTCTAAAACTCTGTAATTCGAACCGAAAGAATTTTTAGCAGGAATCCCTATTCATCCTTAAATAACTAAATTTTCCATTTTTGACTTTGCCAAAAATGTTAGTCCGTAATCACAATTCACAAAGCAATGACGTTTCACGACGTCGTATTCACATCACCCTTAGAAGCCTAGCCAATAAAATCAGCCGTTATATAAGGTCCCCCAAACCGCTTGCCAAAGAAAGAAGAAAGAAATGGCGGCAATAGCAACAGGAGTGAGTCTCAACCACATTTCCAGAGAATCCTCCGACATTCGGCGTCTCGCCGATTTCTACAAGGAGGTCCTTCACCCCTCCTAATTTAATTCCCTATTTCGATTCTTATAATTACATCACTTTAACAAGCTAATTAGCAATTAGTTAATCTAATTAATTTTGATTTTACGATCGTTGTAGATATTTGGGCTCGAGGAGATTGAGAGCCCAAACTTCGGGGAGTTCAAGGTGATATGGCTCAAGGCGCCTGGGAATTTCGCTCTCCACCTGATCGAAAGAAACCCTAGTTTTAACCTTCCGGAAGGACCATGGAGCGCCACTTCACCGGTTGCTGACCCGAGCCACCTCCCCAGAGGCCACCACATCTGCTTCAACGTCTCCAATTTCCAGTCTTTTGCGAAAACCCTCAAGGTATGAAACTATGAATACGTTTTTAAATTTACCCTTTTGGGATTTTTATGATTTGAATTGAATTTGTGATTGCTGCCTTGTTGGTTTTGATTTGGAGGTGAAAAAGATTTGTGCTTTGTGGAGTTTGATTGTTATAGTGAAAAGTGAAAGTTATTAAGGACCCTTTTCTTTTTACAAAGACGATATTCTAAACTACTCGAATTTATGACTAGTGGTGGTGGGGGGTCGAAGTTGCGTTCGAGGGTGCCGCTGCTACCGCTGCCAACTGGCCGGATCTACTTGTGTGAACCTTTATGGAATTGAGTCTTGAAATGTGAAATCAAATCTTAGGCAAGATGAGGCATTTGTTATGTACGATATGAGCTCTCGCTTTTATTTGCTAACTATTTTTTCACCCAAGTTTTGCTTCACTTCCCTTATACGGTCTAGGTTCTTCGTTTCCTCTATATATACATGTTCGTATAACTATGAACTGATAGTAATATGAACTTAGGTATATACTAAGACACGGAACAGAACATGAATGACATAGCTGAAGATTCAATGCAAGGGAAAAGCTTCAAAACAAACTCACGTGCATAAATTTTGGGAGAAAGAAGAACCAAAAACGCAACCTTTGACCTTTCTAGACCAAATGAGAGAGTGGGAGACGACTAGTTAAGTTATCCTCATGACGTACAAAGTCGTTTTTTGATTGGTTCTGTTTAGCTTGTTTTGTTGGGGTAAGAAGTTGGGAAGCTTTAAGAAGAATTTGATTGGGGCAGTTTTCTTCCCCTTAAAAACAAAGTTGGTTTCTAAAACAGGCTTAAATAGGTTGGGGCCTTTGTTTAGAAGGGGCAAAGACAAAGGTTTAAAGGCTTTGTATGTTTGTTTGTTCTCATTTAATTTATTTATTTTATCAACCATTCTTTGATGCGAGTTCTATGAACAAATTCGGTTGTGCAGGAAAAGGGAATCCAGACGTTTGAGAAGTCCTTACCTGATGGTAAGGTCAAGCAAGTCTTCTTCTTTGATCCAGATGGTAAGCCTTTCTAATCATATTGTTGATATATGTTGTGTTCAAGATTGCAACTTAAGCAAGAGCCATTTATCTTGGGTTAAAGGTGTTAGAATTTTGGATAAGCATGCGGGGATTACTGGAATTACTCAACGCTTTATGAACAAAATGACAGGATCAATATGATATGTTGAGAAACTAATTGAAAGATTGAACACAGTATTGAATGGCATGCCCTATTTTGAAGATGGAAGATCATTTGCTGACAAACACAGAGAATCTTCTCTCAGATGTATACTGATTATGCACTATGGATCTCAATCAGCTTTCCCATTGCTATGCTATTAGTAAAGAAGAACATTTGTCATTCCTTTCCTTTCAGTTTCTCAATCATGCTTTGTTGTGCAGGCAATGGATTGGAGGTTGCAGGTCAATGAACTGCACGGCAACACCATAGGCTGCTCCGAAAGGTCAATTAGAATGATATGAAGCAAATGATCAGTAAAATATCGTACATACAATAAGTAGCAATGATCAGTTTCATTTATGCAGCTGTACCTCAAGTGTTATTGTATTTATGATCTTAAATATGTTGTATACTTTTATGCTTCACATCAATTGCTATCGTAGCGTATCACGTGTCAGTACGGATTGCATAATATATGATGGTCGAATATTTAGGCTTGGTAGAAGTCGAATGCAAGCTTGTTACCATGTGACACTTGAAGTCGAAAATTTTCGAGTCATAAAAAGATATTTGACATTTTTAGCAAAACAGTCCCCTTCTATACTGAAGCCCCCCTTGTTAATTACATTCCCTTTTCAACTTGTTTGTGGCATATGCTCTTTTTCGCTTATTTGGCTCGATCTGGTATTCTTGCATCAAAAGTAATGTCTGCATTGCCTTATGCTACACCGCCAGGACGTGGTTGGAAGAGTGTTTTCGCAGTGCTCGTGTGTATAAACATGGGTCTTCAAAAGAACACTCTATTTTCTAATTGATACGTGAAGTTTTCGGGAAAAATCTCTGTTTTGCTCATCTCAAGGACACTTTTTTTCTTTGTCATACCAGCACTACTAGGTTGGGAGTAACTAAACCTTAAACGTGGGTTTTGGTGCAAGGGTCAACGTTCTTAACCACTTGAAAATCGATTTTTAATTAATTGAGTTAGTGCTCATAACAACTAGAACTGTAGAAGGGTACTAGGATACGTAATCGAACACAAGTTCTCGACTTTGAGTAGATAGTTGTTGACCCAAAAAATTACAAAGTCTACGCAGCGTGTAGGCCGAGTAACTAATGAGCTAACTACGTCCTTCTATTGATGCGGGGCGTGCCAACTCGTCGGCCAAGCTCAGCCGAGGAGTAAAATTTGTTGATGTTGCGTTGAGCACGTTGCTGACTTCTTGATCTTGCGACTGCGGCCGAGGAAGGAACACGTCTCGGCCTTCGGGTTCTAGAGCCTAAAGACAAGGCTGCTAGTTCTGCGAAGTTTAATATCAAATTCGGTTTTCAATGTGTCAAATGTAGTAACTTGTAACACCTCACTTCGCTAAGAAGGCTAATGAGATGACCTCTGCCAATAAGGATTCGAAAATCCTTCTCGACCGAGACTTGGATAGATAACCAGTCGACCTCGATACAGTGTTGTTTATCCAAACTGAAGGTGTGTTGACGAAAAAAAGAAAATAAAAAAAAATCTCAAGGTGTTTGAGAGGTTTGCGCAGGGCAGTTGTGTGTTGAATTGGAGGTGCCTTTTGTTGTTGCCACTGCCTCTATTTATAGATTTTGTAATGCTCAGCCACTGAAATAAAGTATTCCAATTCCATTCTAACTCTCAGCGTCAAAATATTGTGATAAAGAACATTTTTGATAATATCCCTCAAAGTCAAGATTCCTCGTGTCAATGTCGTGTGCTCCTTTCATCTTTGCAGAACACCAATCTAATCCAAAGATTGGTTATAATATTTAAATGTCGTGGATCTCTGTCATCCAAATTCCATGTACGAATGACATTGCAATTTGCATCATTATCTTGACTTCAACATTATCCCAAAACCATGCATCTTGACTATCCAAACCTCATCTTAATGCACCATCACCGTGCTACTCAATCTGACAATAGGAGTCCTAAGTCCAATTGAATTGTACTACTTGCTCGGAAACTTACTTTGCATCTTACTATCCCGTATAAGAAAATATCAAGATAATTTGTTAAACGATAATTATTATGATAAAAATCATAATATTATCTTTCAATAATAACAAAATTATCTTCATTTTCATCTGACGGTTGAGAGCTATGCTCACTCAATAGCCTTGATTGCACAGGCCGATGGTGTAAATTTGGATCCAAACAATAGTAAAAGCGTGAACTTCAACCTTTGAAAGGATACTAGCATTAGCATCCAGTATCAATTCGAACCATTGTTCTAAAAATCCCCGCCTAGGTGCTAGGCAGTTAGTCACCGTTCCGATTAATGCCTAAGCGTTTGAAAATTAAGAAATGGCATCTAGACTTGCTGAGGCGCCCACCCAGACTCGTCTAGACACTTGCCTAGGTGGCAACTCACTTAGATAGAAAATAGATAACTTTCCTTTTGCATTTTATTGTTTCCAATAAGTTGTAAGAAACTTATTGAACACTTAAATAAACACACATGATATATTTGCTCCCCATGTTTTCATTATGTTCCAATACTTCATAATATATATATATATATATATATATATATATATATATATCATTCTATTTTCTAGTTTATGATAAAATTATATATCTTTTATGTATAAACAGACACTTATTTACACGAAATACAATATATTTACTTAAATCCGTTTAGTTTGCTTAGACTTCACCTAGCTGCCTAAGTGCTAGGCTCCAGCACGACGTCCGATTAACACCTAACATATTTTGGAACCTTGGTTCGAACATTCGATGGAGTGACGAGGGTCCTAAGCCGATAAGTGTTGGCAACCTCTGTAGCGACAAGTGTCGGCAGATTAACTGCAAGCACAGCAACCTGCTTACATGTGTACCGCTAGAATTCGAAGTGTCCTGGCCTTTATCTCGACACGTGTCTCAAAATCCACGTGTCAATAAGGTTTCACAAATTATATATAACCTTATATAAAGTCTGCCATTCTTCCCTAACATCTACACGTACGTATAGAACTAGTCAGAACCACCAAAACCGTTGAAATAACGTTGTAATTCAACACAAATACTGATAAAAATGAGCCAGGGACAGCCACGGAGGCCTCGGGAGGATGAGGCGCAGCCGATCAAGTACGGTGACGTTTTCTCCGTCTCAGGGCAACTCGCTGACAAGCCCATTGCACCGCAAGATGCTAACATGATGCAGACCGCTGAGACCATGATTTTCGGGCAGACCCAGAAGGGCGGTCCGGCCGCTGTTATGCAGTCGGCCGCCAGCCGGAACGAAAAAGCCGGTCTCGTCCGCCATGACCAGGCTACCGATGTTGCTGGAAGTGAAGGTGTCACTGTTACCGAGACTGATGTCCCCGGCAGCCGCATCATCACCGAATCAGTTGGTGGACAGGTTCCCAACCTGCTCTCTCATTTTCCTGATCATTTAGATACCAAAGCTCGATTCAATTAACAATACAACTCACTTTTAATATGTTAATTATGTCTAATATATACGCTATATTTCTTCATACGGATTGTTACGTCTAATATTATCATGTATATATATTATGTAGTCTAATATTATCGTATACATTATGTTATTATCATATATATTATATATGTTTGAATCTAAATTATTAATTAGTACTATTCAGTACTAATTTAACATGTATGTTGTAGGGTTGAATTGATCATTCTGCTATTTGTATTAGTAGTATAGTTTGACATCGTAAAAAACATAAATATGATGGCTGGCATTGTGTTATACCTCCAACACATAATGTATGCTATGCTGCTATGGATGTAAAGGGGGTGGGTGACCCTTTTTCTTGTGTGTTTGGATGTGGTTAGGTGGTTGGGCAGCATGTGCAGCGTACCCCAGTGGCGCAGGCAACTGCGGCGGGGTTCATGCAGCAGAACTCAATCACCATAGGTGAAGCACTGGAAGCCTCGGCCCAAACAGCAGGTGACAGGCCAATTGATCAAAGCGATGCTGCGGCCATTCAGGCAGCTGAGGTGAGAGCGACAGGCAGCAATGTGATAAGCCCGGGTGGGCTGGCCGCCATGGCTCAATCCGCTGCAGCGTACAATGCTGGGACTGAGAGCGAGCAGGACAAGATCAAGCTCACTGATGTATTGTCGGTAATTAACTCGACCATTGGGCATATGGATATTGTGTGGTTTTTTGTATTTATTCAATATGGTCAGTAAGGTGTTTGATGTGAAGTAGTCTTTGTTGCGTGGCTGAAGGGTGCAACTGCAAAGCTGCCCGCGGACAAAGCCGCGACGAGGCAGGATGCTGAAGGAGTTGTGAGCTCTGAGCTGCGAAACAATCCGGGCATGGGAACCCGTCCCGGTGGAGTGGCAGCGTCGGTGATGGCGGCTGCTAGGCTGAATGAGAATATAAACATGTGACATGTGGCTGTTCATGCTTTCTGGTAAACTGAATAGGTGTTGTAATCAACAATCTCTAAATTAGTTAGCAGTTTTACGCCACGTATCTATATGAAATAGTATGTAAACGTGTGCGCCATGGTTTTGTATTCGCGGTAAAATACCAAGCTGTGTTGTACTTTGTATGTCAATGCGTTGTTCTTATATGATATGTAATTCTTAAACCAGTTTGAGTTCTGTTCTACATACCTATATGAAGGTTGCATCTTTAATTCTTTACGTTCTCCGTTTTGGACTGGACCGCTAGTTCTTATTATGGGGCTGTTTCTGCAAAATAAATCGTTTGGACTGGGCTAGCCCACACAGCCTAATGCTTTGGTTTGTTCTTATTTTAGGGGGAGCATCGCATCCCTTGCTGTAAACAACTTAAGTTTTGTATTGCTTTTTTCACCAAAAGCTAAGCGAAACAGTAAAAAGGTGTTTTGATAAAATTAATATTCCGCTTATCAATAAGAAATGGCTCTCAAATATCAGTTTTTAAAAGTGTAACATGGCGGTTGCTTCTAAAAATTACTTTAATAAAATGCGTTATTTGTTGAAAACATTGACAGTGTTGAAAATATTTGACAGATGAATGAATGGTCACACAGATTTTCAATAGCCACGTAGTAATGTGGATTTTGGAAATGAAGGAGATCATATTTTCAAAGTGTGCTGAAGTTGCTCTATAAATAGAACGCTCTGTGTACTATCAAAATACAGAGAAAGGAAAGATAAATAACATCAATATCTATCCGTCCCTCTTTTATTTGTCATCCCCTTGTGTTATAGTTACAGTGTGATAGTTTACACCTACTTCGCTTCTGTCACTAGTAAAGGTTATCTCTCTAACTTTTACCTATTTATAACACGTTCAGCACGATTCTCTAATCATTCTCTCATTTCTCTTCGCCGAAAGAAAAAAAAAAAAGTTTCCTTCAAGGATTTTACTGTTCATCTTCTTCCTCTGCCTCAACTGCTGGATATACCCTCATGAAGAACTGTTTACACCATGCCTACTTCTAGTTCTCAACCTAATATTTACATATATCTTTGATTTCTTGTTTGGTGTAGATCTTGATTACTAACCTAGTATTTATTTATGTTGATTTTACTGCAATCCAAGATGGTGCGGTACAATCGCCCATCTTGAACTGCAAATTTAATCTTAGTGCAATCCAAGATGATGCGGTATCATCACCTATCTTGGACTGCAGATCTAATTTTACTGCAAATTTTAGGTGGAGCGGTATAATCGCCCACCCTACCCTGCATATTTAATTTACCTGTTGTTTAATTTCATTGCAATTTTAGGTGGTGCGGTATAATCGCCCACCATACTCTGCGTATTTAAATTTTCTTGTTACTTGAGTGGTGCGGAATAATCGTTCATCCTATGTTATGTTATTTCAACGAGAATGGTGCGGTACAATCGCCATCCTCATTCATCATGTAAATCTCGAGCCAGAAGTTTCGAGTGCTTATCATTTTGGCTCGAAGATCAAAATGAAAAATTTATAAAAACCAAAAGTTCTAACACTACATACCTTTAGATATTATTGCAAGTTCTTACACATCTCAGTTTTCTTTCAGAAAAGAAATGGAGAACTTGGCAAAACTTGATTTTGTTGCCCTAGACATTACTGGGAATAACTACCTTACCTAGGTAGTGGATACCAAGATCCATTTGGAGGCAGGGAATCTTGGAGAAACAATCAAGGAAGAGAACAATGCATCTTCTCAAGATCGGGCGAAGACCATGATCTTTATTCATCGCCACCTTGATGAATGACTAAAGAGTGAGTACCTAACGGTTGAAGATCTGTTAACTCTCTGGAAAGCATTGAGAAACAGATACAATCACCAGAAAACAGTGATTCTTCCAAGAGCTCGTTATGAGTGGACTCACCTAAGTATCCAGGATTTCAAGTCAGTGGTTGAGCACAATTCTGCGATGTTCAGAATTGGCTCCGAGATGAAACTCTGTGGGGGAAATCATCACTGAAAAAGATATGTCGGAAAATACTTTTAGCACCTTTCATGCCTCAAACGTGCTCCTGCAGCAGAAATATAGAGAGCGAGGTTTCACTGAATACAACCAGCTGATATCTGTGCTTCTGGTAACTTAACAAAACAATGAGCTCCTGATGAAAAATCATCAGTCCCGACCTACTGGATTTGCATCATTCCCAAAAGTGAATGTTGTTTCCCTCGAAGTGAATGCCACATCTTATGGTGGCAATAACCATAAAAGAGGACATGGCCATATGCGAGGACGGTGGAATGGGAAAGGCAAAAATCATGGTGTCCAATTTCACAACCAGGTTCCAAGGCATAATTCAGGCCCGAGCTTCAAAAATGTAAATCGCCACAAAGGCAAAGCTCATATGAACAATACTCCTAGAAACTCTGAAAGAGCCTACCATAGGTATGGTGGCAATGAGCATTGGGCACGTACTTGTCGTACCCCAAAACATCTGGTGGATCTATATCAAGCCTCCATCAAGGAGAAAGGTGTTGAGACCAATTTTCTTGATCAGGCTAAACCAATGGATATACCTGATCTAGTGTGTGACTTATCAGGACAATTGAACACAACATACTTAGATGTCTCAGACTTTATTGTGGAAAAGAGGAATGAAGTATACCGGTTCGACTGAATCATTTGTGTTTGATGTACTGAACTTGTAGTTTGAAACTAGCATTTCAAATTCAATAAAAGTGGCATTTAAATTTCCTGTTATAAATTGCTTTTAACTGGTATCCCCTTACTTAGAAAGCATGGATAAGCATTATGGTCATTCTCAAAACAAGAGCAATGGTGAAGGTATTTGTCTTGCAGACAGCGCAACTACGCATACAATACTTCGAGATTGAAGGTATTTCTCAAGATTGATGCTTACAAAAGTAATGATAACAATAATATCAGGCCAATCAGATGTAACTGAAGGCTCAGGGAAAGCCCAGATTATGTTACCAAATAGAACAATATTGTCTATACAGAATGCGTTGTACACTACTCGATCTACTCAAAATTTGTTGAGTTTCAAAGACATACGGGATACCACATTGAAACAAAAAGTGCAGAAAATGTGGAGTATTTATGCATTACCTCCAATGATACCCAGAAGCGTATATTGGAGAAGTTGCGTGGTTTAACAAGTGGATTATATTATACATACATAAAGACAGTTGAATCACATACTGTCATGAACCAGAAGTTCATTGATTCAAAAGTTTACTTGTTTTGGCATGATCGTTTGGGTCACCCAGAATCTACCATGATGCATAGGATCATTACCAACTCTAATAGACATCCATTATTGAGGAGACACATTGCTATCTCAAATGATAACCCTTGCAAGGCTTGTTCTCAAGGGAAGTTAGTAATTAGATCATCATAACTAAAGGTTGATGCTGAATCCCCATCATTTTTTGCAAAGAATTCAAGGGGATATTTGTGGGCCTATTCAACCATCCTATGGACCATTCCGATATTTTATGGTTTTGGTTGATGCATCTACTCGATGGTCATATGTTTGTTTCTTGTCTACTAGGAATGTAGCTTTTGCGAGACTTCTTACTTAGATAATTAAGTTCCGAGCACGGTTCCCAGATTACCCCATTAAGTCAATTCGACTTGATAACGCTAGTGAATTTACGTCTCAAACTTTTGATGATTACTGCATAACATTAGGCATTGATGTTGAACACCTTGTTCCTTATGTCCATACTCAAAATGATCTAGCAGAGGCATTCATCAATCGGCTTCAATTAATAGCTCGCATTCTGCTCATGAAAACAAAATTGCTAGTTTCTGCATAGGGACATGCCATCTTACATGCTGCATCATTGGTTCGATTGAGACCTATAGCCAACCACCAATACTCCTCAGTACAACTTGTGTTTGGGCATTAGCCAAACATTTCACATTTACGAGTTTTTGGTTGTGCTGTTTATGTACCTAGATGAGACCTTAACGCAGACTGGGAATTTATGTGGGTTTTGATTCACCATCTGTCATTAGATATTTGGAACCCTTAACAGGTGATATGTTTATAGCTCGTTTTGTTGATTGTCACTTTGATGAGACAGTCTTCCTATCATTAGGGGGAGGAAAAACTGTTCCAGAATAACGACAAGAGCTGATGTGGGTTGTTCCCACCTTATTCATTTCAATCCACGTAGCACTCAATGTGAAAATGAAGTGAAAAAGATCGTTCATCTTCAAAGTATTCCAATCAAATACCAGATGCATTTAATGATGCTATGAAAATGACAAAATCATATATACCAGCTGCAAATGCATTTGCAAGAATTGATATCCCTGTTGGACAAAATAAAGTGTCAGTGAATGATTCATCTAGTGCACGCCTGAAACGTGGTAGATCTCCAAATTCAAAAGATTCAGCCCTTCGAAAGAGAAAGACGAGGGCGTAGCTGAATCCAAATGAAATCATTCAAGAAGAAAAAATGAATGACAAATCCACAATTCATGATTCTGTACTTTCAAAAAAAGAAAATGTCCTTGATGAGACACATGTACATGAAGAAACAGAGGTACATGAAAGCAAATAAATCTCCATAAATTATGCTTGTACTAATGAATTGTGGGATCGGAATGAAATAATCATCGACGACATGTTCGCATTCGCAGTAGCCACTGAAATCATATTAAGTGATGATATTGAGCCCCGCTCTGTCGATGAATGCAAACAAAGGTAGGATTGGCCTAAGTGGAAAGATGCAATCCATGCATAATTAAATTCCTTAGAAATGCGAAATGTTTTTGGACCATTAGTCCAAACCCTGCCTGGTATAAACACCGTGGGTTACAAATGAGTATTCATAAGAAAGCAAAATGAGAAAAACGAGATTGCAAGATATAAAGCACGACTCGTTGCACAAGGCTTTTCGCAAAGACTTGGAATTGATCATGAGGAGACATACTATCCTGTAATTGATGCAATTATGTTCAGTTACTTAATAAGTCTAGTGGTTTCAAAAAAACTTGATATGCAACTTATGGATTTCATCACCGCGTATCTATATGGAGAATTAGATACAGACATATATATGAAAGTCCCAGAAAGACTTACGTTGCCTGGAACAACTAACAAATCACGAGGTATGCTCTCAATCAAATTAAGGCGATCATTGTATGAGCTGAAACAATCTGGACGAATGTGGTA